AGGTTTATTATACGAAGCCCGTTGCTTCAGACTTAAGCTCCTCGGAAATGAGTGGAGCTGGTAGGAGACGCTTCCGCATCCAGCTCCCGTGCCACTCTTACAGCATTCCTCTGTCACAACAGACACCGGACGCAATGAGACACAGCCTACGACACCGACACCGGGTGGAGCTGGGGCTGAAAAGAAAAGAGCGCCCAACAGGAGGAATAAGTCCTATTCTTGGAGCAACCAGGAATAGCCCCACCACCATAGGATGTAGCTCAACAAGAGAGAGCCGGCTGCAAAACAAGCAATTTCCTCCCTCCAACTCACCTTCCAGCCCTTTTTCTGGATACGAGCTTCTTTAAAAAGCATCTTGTACTCAGTACTCGGATTTAGTTTGTACTCGAGCACGCAGGCTTAGATTTAGTTTGTTCTGCTTTAAGGCACCGAGGCGGACTACGTCAACTACAGAAAACCTTCCCAGGCTGATTTTCTGCAATTCTGACCCGGATTCAGCCCAAAGGGGCTGGCGCAGAGCTGGGCAGCGGGTCAGCAATTTGCATCTGGCTCTTTTTCCCAGCCCCGAGCATTCCAATGAAGCAGCCGCAACTTCTATTAGTTCGCCCGTGCCTGTTGTTTTTGTGTCACGCTCTTGCAACAGGAGGTGGTTGTGATTCACTCGCTTGGTTTGTTTGGTTTGTTTTTCTTTTCCAATCTGCAGAGAGCAAAAAATATTTTCAACCAACATTTTATGATACCAGCATCACCCACCCTGTGAAAATGAGCCGTCTGCAGAAAAGAGCGTTGCTGGGAAAGCGAGAAGCTTTCTCCTGGAAAATTTTGATGCTCTGAGAGCTTCATGTGAAACTGTCCTACAAAGACGTTTCACACCCGGGGGGCCGGAGCTCCTAAGAAAACAGCGCCACTGTCACTGAGGAGGAAAAGCTGGTGCGAGCACCACAATCTCTCCTTTGGCCACCACTCCCCACCAGTATGAGTTCCACCACACCTCTGGTCAGCTCTTCCTTTGCCAGCTGAACGCAGCCCCATCGCACGAAGAGCTCGTAGAGCACTCCGATGTTTGCTGGCACAGCTTTCCCACGGCAAGGAGAGGCAGCTGAGCTTGGCAAAGCCCGGGAGCTACTACGGGCAGCGTGGGCAGTTTCCAGGAACTGCCATTCCGACCTTCCCGCCACCACGCAGGGCGGGCTAGAGCCTGAGTACTCCGTTGAGGCAGCCAAGGCTCAAGCGTATAATCTTTCTTTTGCCGTGCAGGACCTGCGAGCTACGCACCAGCTCGGAACCAGTCCCCTCCAGCTTCGTCTGTTAATGAGAAAGCGGGGAATGATTAAACTGTCAGACCCCATCCTACTCCAAGGTGTGAGCGCAGAGAGGCTGTAAGTTTGTCTGGGACCCCCACACGCGCGGGTAGGGAAGGACAAGACCATCTTAAGCACAGCAGCAGCTAAAAATTGTTCCCATAGCGCACCAAAGGCTCCGGGCTACGGGAGCCTGACCCAGCCCTGGGGCTCCTTGTTGTCCTCACTGCACTCCTCTGTTCTTTCCCGATGCTCGGTGATTTTCCGGTCATGAGACAGCCAGCCTGGGATGCCGCCCTCCCGCTCCGTACGGAGGGGCTGTATCTGCCCGCTCCGTCACCCGGACAGCTCTGCCCAGCCCCGGGACACAGCGGTCTCCGTCTCTGTAGCTGGATCAGAAGGGTAAACACGATATCTGCGCTGACAAGCAAAAGCTCAGTGTGGGATGTGGAGGCACCTTCATCAAATCAAAGCAAAGCCCAGCTGGTCAGCGTTTAGTTAGAAAAATGCACGGAGGCAGGGGGAGGATGGAAATAAAAGGGAAGATAAGCAAGAACACAGCGTGCAAGGTTGAAGCACTTGCTTCTGCGCCAGCCGAAGGCTGCTAAGGCTGAACTCACTCCCACTCGGCACATCTCAACAGATAGGGAACTTGCCGTGTACAATCCTCCTTCGTCAGGACACGGGGAAGGGCGATGATAGTCAAAAGACACCCTGAATCATTTGTGCGCTGGGTCAGCTGCAAAAGGGGAAGGGGGGCAAAGTCCTTGTCAGTAAAAAGGATCTTAAGCGCTTCAGATACGACCAGTGGTCTGGAGCTGACCTCAGCCCTTTGCTCTGAGTGTCTTTCCCCTAAGAGGAAGAAATCCTGCGGAGTCAGATGTGTCTTCAAATAACTGCTTACCCAGGCGGACCCGAGACCAGTCACCTGTGCCAGCGGCTGGGAGGGCTCCAGGAATCCCTCGTCATGACTTCGGTGGCAAACGGCTCCCAAGCAGGGCCGACGTTGGGGAAAACCATGCCCTTTCCTTGCCCCCTCCTGCACTGCAGCATCAGGGAGGCAAAATACAGGCAGAACAAGCATCGGCGGCCGACGCCTCGGGGCTGGTTTTAGACGCAGCGCGCGCAGAGAAAGGCAGATCTCCAGAGCACGGCGCTCCAGCCACCCACCGCCGCAAAGCCCAAGTCCCCAGGCCTGTGAAATTATTTAAACCCAGGAAAGCTCCGAGCACCGAGACAGGCCAACTTGGTCTCTTTGTCTCCAGATGTGAGCTCGGGATCGTGCCACCTAAGCCCACCCATGGTTTTTTTTTTTTCCCCAGCTCGCAATGTCCCCTCACCTATTTCTTCCTAGGAAACGGGACTCCGAGGGACAGCGGGGCAAAAAAAGCAGAGTAGTCCAGGCTGCCTGCAGCAAGGCCAGGGCTCTCTCCATAGATCTGGCGGGATGCTGGCGAGGGGAGCGAGGCTGAGAGACGGAAGGTCGGCCGCAGCTTCGCTCGGCACCTATTTCCTCCTCTCCCCCAGCGCCGCAGCCCAGGGAGGGATCCCACACACACATTCTTCCCTCCTGGAGAGACCCAGGCTCCGGCCAGCACCAGGAATATCTCCCTTCAACGTCTCTAGGTGTCTTTGCTGAGGCTGCCATACCTGGTGCTAGTGATGGGCTGTAACAAATTTAATTACGTGACGAGCTGCCAGCTCCCGCGGAGCCCAGGGCTGAGGCCAAACGCTGCACCGCGGCAAACGCAGCCCCGGCACCGACACCCACGCGCATGTCCTGCACCGCTGCTCTTCTCCATCCTGCTCCCAGCCTCCAGGAGCTGGGCTCGAGCCGCAAACCGAGCCCTGCCACAGCGAGGGATAAATCTCTATGCGGATGCGAAGAGCAGCAGCGTGCTGACCTGCAGGTTTTACTAAAGATGCTGCGCTTGCCTTTTCACTGTGCCTGGAGCACTGGGGAAGTCAGAGGGCTCCCTGCCCTCCCATTTCTTCACCCTCCTCCAGAGCCTCCTCTCCATCCTCCTCCTCACCCACAGACCCACTTCCTAAAGGGCAGAGGTTACACCCAGCAAAATGCAATCTGTTAAATAGGACACACGAGTGACTCTTAATAAGCGTTCCGCACAGATACCTTTGATACCTCCCTCCCCGAAATCCTTCTCGGCCTGTCCCAGCTAAGCTCTCACTCAAAAAAAAAAAAAAAAAGAGAGAGGAAAGAGAGATAAGCTTAAGCTGATCCCCTTACAGGGAGTGTCCTAACACTAATTGGCTTTGGTGTTCGTCGGTGACAGACCCTTGCCGTGTTCAGTGCCGGGAAAGCCACCGTCTGACACGGATGCAGGGAAAGGCCAAATGACCGTACTGTGCGTGCACGCCAAGCACGGCCCACGGAGACAGGTGGAAATCAAAACCAGCCAGGCTTGCTCTTCCCCCCCTCCCCCAGCGCGGTTTTACTCCAGGACGGGCATTTCCAAACACACCAACCCCCTGGAATTCAACTCCCCCCTCCCCAACAGCACAGGGGAAACATCTATGGGGAAATACGTGACCCCCATCCTCTGCTCGGTCTCAGGCTCTGTGCCTTCTCCCCTGCCTCTCGCATCCCATTTTGTGAGCCGCTTCGCTTCCCAGGGAATAAAACAAACAGCGCAATAGTAGGAGCAACCTTTGGCTGCCCTCCCTGCCGGTGTGGCTCCCCTTTGTGTGAGGGAGGCCACCTCCGAGCCGCGCACCCACCGCCCTTCCCTCTGCTCCCGGCCCTTCACCGGGCAGGCAGCGGTCGGCCCAAAGAAGAAAAAGAAGAAGAAGAAGAAGGGCATAATAAATAACAGCAGAAGAATAACAGATGGCGCAGAATAAACCACGGGAAATTCACGTCCTCTGAAGTTGTCGGCGCATAGGAAAGACAGAGGAGCTGTTGTACTGCAGAGCAGCGTGAGATCCGCAGCTCGGCTGAACCCGCCGGCTTAGCCAAACACCAGAACCGCCGGGGACAAGACGGGGTCTTTTGTTAAAGCCTCCCTGGAGGGTATTAATCAAAAAGCTTGGAAGACACCCGATAAAACCCGCAAACGTTAGTCTGCTCTTTTCAACACGCGGAGCTCGGGCTGTGCTCTAAGCTCGTCCCCTGAAAACATTTCTTTGTTCAGTTCCTGCTAAGATCGGATCCGGTTATAAGTCCTTGTGTGTCATTTCAGATGTATATATTTTCTCGGAGATCTGCAAATATTTACTCACAGAACTCATTTGCAGCTAACAGGGTAAGTGCATCAGATGAATAAGAAAATTAACCGTATGATGCATGTAACACTTCTCCATTTCTGCCTGCAAGTTCGGGGAAATGGTTACTGTGTCTGTTTCAGGGCTTTTCGACGGCCTTTAATACACCCAGCCTGTAGGAAAATGTTTTTAGAATATATGAAAGAAAGGACTTGGCAAGAACAGGGCTCTAAATATTCAATTAAAAGCAATCAAGGAAGCCAGAAAGCCCCTTCCTGAGATCACAGGCATTTTAGCTCATTTTAATGAGAGCCAAAAGTCTCCTGGAAGAAGACAAAAGAAAAAAAAAAAAAAAAAAAAGCCCAACTCTTCTCAAAAGACACGACACAGGTAGAAAATACACGGCGCAGGGAGTAGCTATCAGCTGCAGACGCTGCTGCAGCACACTGCTGCAGCCCACCGCAGCCCGGGACTTACCTTGCGGAGCCGTGATGATCCTGGGGTTCACCTTGGAGCGCCCCGCTGCCCACGTGCCCAGCTGGCTGGCCCACAGGGCCACGAAAAGGGCAACGGGCGACCTCCTGCCCATTTCTACTGATTCGGCGAGCGGGCGACGGTGAGGCTTGTGAGGCTGCCCACC